ATCCATCCATCCGTGTGTGTTTGTATTTATGTGTATATAATATATGCATATGCATAATTTCTATCAACAAAGCTCTTGCATGTGTGCAGGCCTGGTTGGGATCTCGCTGACTGCTGACTGGGGTGAACCAGTGGACATCTCCAACCAGAGGGATATCGAAGCAGCAGAGAGATACATTCAGTTCTACTTGGGCTGGTTTGCTACACCTCTCTTCCATGGAGACTACCCACAAGTTATGAAAGATTACATTGGTATGTCAAATGCAACCATTTAGACGTTTGCAATATGTAAAAATGTCCTCACCCAAAAAAAGAAAAAGGATATAACTATATGTGTCAAGAATTTTCACGGGAAGTTTAACGTACATCCCTTTCAAAGAGAAAACTTTGCAACATATAACACTTTGCAAAGTGTTATATGTCTGTCTTTGGCCAGATTTTGTCACAACAGCAAAACATAGCAATTAAGAGCCTGACTTGTGTTTGATAGCAAATATGTTGTGGTCTGGAAGAAAACAGCCATGCGTTGCAGTACTAACCTATTGTGATCTTGGGGGTTTGTGTACACGCTTGTCACACAACTATGCACCTCACTTTCTGTGTGACCAGCCAAGAATAAGTCACCACAAATGCTTTTAACCTGAGTGAATGCACTATTACCTCTGCTGGTAGATTAATTCCTATATTCCAGTGTCATCATGTGTAGTAGCTGTACACATGCTAGTTTGAACAGAATACTGAATCAATCAAGATCCACTATGTAACACTTCTAATGACTCTTTGTTTGCATACTCAGTATTTAGTGCATTGTAATTTTAGCGTGACTTCAGTCTGATATTATGCTCCTCATGCTCCCCCACCCCTGCTGTCATCGATGCCTTGCATATAGCTTCACTTAGTTTCAAAGTGTACTAAATTTCTTCAGGCAGGAAGAGTGGCCAGCAGGGTCTGGGAGCTTCGCGGCTCCCCGTCTTCTCTCCTCAGGAGAAAAGTTACATCAAGGGCACCTGTGACTTCTTGGGTCTTGGACATTTCACAACTCGCTATGTCACTCTGAAGAATTACCCATCAGGAGCTGGAGACAACTATTTCTCTGACCGTGACCTTGCTGAACTGGTTGACCCACAATGGCCTGACCCTGGTTCTGAATGGCTCTACTCCGTTCCCTGGGGCTTCCGACGCTTGTTGAACTTTGTTAAGGTACACATCCTGATTACTGAGCTTTTCAAATTAAAACTCAAGCTGTATTCGGGGAAAACTGGGGCTTTGTGTGAAACCACTGCATCGTGGACATATTCACAGTGAAGACTGGATGAACTGATCACTCATGACAAGTTCATGTATGGTAAATGTATTGGCATTATATAAATTGATGTCTTTCTGTTGTGAACCTGGGTGATACTGTATTCATTTGAAATATAGTTTTTCAGCAAATATAATAACAAAAATATGTGATATGGCATCTCACTAACAGACTCAGTATGGAAACCCCATGATCTATGTGACAGAAAATGGCGTGTCAGAGAAAATGCTGTGCACCGACCTTTGTGACGACTGGAGGATGAAGTACTTCAAAGACTACATCAATGAAATGCTCAAAGGTGAAACTCACTGTCTCAAAAACTGCCTATCAAATATCAAACCTGTGCACATTAGATATGATGTGAATCAAATGAGTGTCCACGATTCGACTTACAGCGATAAAAGATGGGGTCAATGTGAAGGGCTACACGGCCTGGTCTCTCCTCGACAGCTTTGAGTGGGATGAAGGCTTCTCTGAGAGGTTTGGGCTCTACTACGTGGACTTCAGGAACAAAAATAAGCCACGCTACCCAAAAGCTTCTGTCCACTACTACAAACGCATTATCAGCTCAAATGGCTTTCCCAATCAGAGAGAGGTAAACGCTACACACTTCACGCTAAAATTCCCCCATGGAGGTGAAGACACTACTTAAACAAGGACTTGTTTGGGCTTTACAGGTTGAAAGTTGGAAGAGGAAAGCTGTAGAGACTTGCTCCTCCAGTAACCAGCTGCTGGCTGCAGGTTAGTATAATGAAGTAGTGCATGGGCTGTGAAAAGCTTGGTGGGGCCAAACAAAGGAAAATTCAGTCTGAAGCTTGTTTTTGTCTCATCTAACAGGGTTTTTCTTTGTTTTGCCCCTCCAGCTAGAAGAAAGGAAAATCAGGAACTTGCAGGAATGGAACAGGCTTGGTCAATCCATGATGAAGTTTAGGTACATACTTTGATGCTGTGTGAGATTAATGTGATTCTCCCAGCTTTTACTGAGTCAAAACACATTTCAACAACACATCAGGTACAGATAGGAGCCTTAGAATATGTGAGGGTGTTATATGTAAGCTTTACATTTACATGTCATGTGGTAAGCGGTCCTTGACTTTGAAAATAATTTCTCCATCCTGTCTTTCTTACCCCATCTCCAGTACTGTTACATGATAACATCTTTTTCTCTCACAGCGATTGCACCTTTAGAGAGCAGACACACTTTGGAACAAACTGCACAGAAACTGTGCGTTTGGTTGTGTGTTTGGGATTTTGAGCTTCACTCCCTTTATGCTCACTCGTCTTCTGCTGTACTGCAG